ACCATACCATATCCAGATACCACACCATACCATACCCAGATACCACACCATACCATATCCAGATACCATACCATATCCAGATACCATACCATATCCAGATACCACACCATACCATACCCAGATACCACACCATACCATATCCAGATACCACACCATACCATATCCAGATACCATACCATATCCAGATACCACACCATACCATACCCAGATACCACACCATACCATATCCAGATACCATATCATATCCAGATACCACACCATACCATACCCAGATACCACACCATACCATATCCAGATACCATACCATATCCAGATACCATACCACACCATACCATACCCAGATACCACACCATACCATATCCAGATACCATACCATACCATAGTAGTTGTATCCCAACCAACAATAGCTTGTCATACCATATCATATCATACCATACCATATCATACCATACATACCATATCATACCATATCATACCATATCATACCATATCATACCATATCATACCATAGTAGTTGCATCCCTGCGAACGAAAGCTTGCTATGCCATATCAACAATATCATACCATCTATACCATATCACCATACCATACCATACCATACCATACCATACCATACTATACCATCATACCGTACCATACCGTACCCTACCATACCACACCACACCATACAAAGCAGCTGTACAGTATACAGGATCGTCAGTAGAAGTCAAAAGTCATCTTAAAAATCCATTCCACGTGGAAAATTTATACCTACCATTTCCATCATCAAAATATAAAACTAACTTCAATGATCCTTTCACTCGGGAACGCTCGCTGAAATATCAAAATGTACCATGCGCTTAATTTATCATCCGTTTTCAAGATAAATGTCCCAATCAAACAAGAAGGAAAACTGATTAGAGTTCTAACTTTGAACTCTAATGATTCCTCTTGGATGAAATAGGCTGTTGTGGCAACTTTTTGAGGTAAAATTACAATTTCTGCTCTATCCATATGATACCGAACACTCGCAGAAAATTCGACTGGACCACGGCCGGGAATCTGGTTACAACGAGTCGATGGGCTTCAACCTACCTTCTACGGGTTAGGTTATATTCTTTAGGAATGATATCCATGTTCTCCTGTCTTGTCTAAAAATAAATAATGAATTCAATACTTGCTTCGCTTCACAGACAAACACACACACACACACACACACACACACACACACACACACAGATATGAAAATGACAACATACTGGAATATTAGTAAGTGGCATATCGACTTTTCCAAGAAAATCATCTCTTGTCTAAAACATAAGAAAAATTGTATTGTGGTAGTGTACAGATCGAACAAACTATATGTAGATTTTAATGTGATATTGAGTACTGTTTTCAATCCATATAAAACAGTGGTGTATAACTTACTGTAACTATTTGTATCACTTGCGATTAGATATGAAAACATAATTAGTTGCCTGGAATAAAATTCACTTGCCATCCGATCTATAGTTTTGTTTTGTCCTCACATATTAACAAAATTTGAAGCAAATGATTGCAGAAACAATGGACGTCGTGCGCTTTAGACTAAATTTCAATTTAAGTAAGAACAACGAAATATATCACCACAGCTAGAAAGAGCGTCTTGGAATTAGTAATATTACAAAGTTTGGTTGCGAAATGTTGTAAAATACGGAAAATATAGCCCTTCAAAGTTGGCAAATTTGTATACTTTTGTATTACGTGCGTGAATTGGTAACTAAATTAGTTACCAATTTCCGCACGTAATAGAAATGTGTACAAATTTGCCAACTTCGCAGGGCTATATTTTCCGTATTTTACAACATTTCGCAACCAAACTTTGCCGTTTTTCTAATTTTGATAACTTCTTTCCGAAGATATCCTTTGTTATTCCCAGATTAAATTTTTTTCTAAAGCGCAAGTCGTCCATTGATTAATCAACAATCTAATCTTGTAACAAAGTCATTTGAAGACTTACACCTGTATTCTAAAAGCTCACTCACACTCAATGAGTGGAGGTTCAATCTGAGCTTCCCTTGAGTGTCAATGCTGTTTTTGAATAGCTGGAGGGTTAGTAGTCACATTGTAAGGAAGGACACCAACCCTCCAGCTATTCAAAAACAGCAGTGACACTGAAGAGAAACTCAGATTGAACCACCACTAATGCATTGAGTGTGAGTGTGCTTTTAGAATACAGGCGTTAATCACGAAGATTTCAGCTGACTTACTAATAGGCCGTGGGCTGTTGGCCAAAAATTATTTCGCTTCGTGGCACCCATGTGGGAAATACTTGGTCTGGGGGGTTATTTGAAAGGCATATAGGTACATCACTACCAAAAAAAGTTCCCAAGCAAAAAGTTGCCCAATACCGAGAAAATGGGTGATCAATGATTATCCTCTATTGAATTGTATTACAGCAAAAAGTGGGAAATTTTATAATTCAATTACAATAAAAATCACTTGCATCATCGGAAAACGTACAAAAAACCGCATATAAGACTTTTAAACAGTTTTTTGATTTTTCAAATAGTCTTTGAGTTATTGCTATTTTAAATGTGAAAATTGTACCAAAATGTCGCAATAAGGACTGGGCACTAGGTCAAAAACGCGTTTTTGACAGCGTATAACTCGAAAACAAATTTAGATATAAAAAAACTGTTTAAATGTCTTACATGCAGGTTTTTGTAAGCTTTCTGATGACGCAAGTCATTTTTGTTCTAATTGAATACAAAATTTCACATTTTCTTGCTGTAATACAGTTTAATAGAGGATAATCACTGATCACCCAATTTTCTCGGTGTTGGGCAAGTCTTTTGCTTGGGAACTTTTTGTGGTAATTAAGCGTCTATGGTTCTATATGAATTGAACCACAGAAAATATATTTCCCAGGGGGGTGCCATGAAATTGCTTTTCTAGGCACTTTTTTGCACAACAGCCCACGGCCTATAATAAAGAATCAAAACAAGAATAAACAAAGCAAAACAATTTTTTCGGGCAAAACATGAAACACTGCTTATTAGCGATAATATCTTACCAGTCTATTCTCATCAAAAACTTCAAATAAAAGCTTTTGGCTTCCCTGATCAACCTGTATAGTAAATATATGGTAAGAACAAAAACTTTTATATTGAAAATTACCAGCTGGGTAGATCATACGAACATTGTATTGACATACGAATGTTACATTGCTTTTTACTCTTCAATATTTGAGTGAGTCATGCTTTGGAAATGACAATAAATTTCTATTACCCAACCCTTTAGTACCCTGTAGATCGGGCAAACAGTGAAACCAAATCGTAAAGGATCAATTACTTACCCTAAAATCAAATTGCTGATTCCATTCTGGATTTAGAGTCTAAAATAATGTACAATGTTTAATTGAGAAACTGTGTTTTGGTTCATGAAATGCTAGAGTTAAGTCCAGTTCCCATATGATCGTTACGATCGCTTCAATCATTACGATTGCTGAAAAAATGTACCAGCGATTGTAGTGACTATATGGAAATCAATGGACGTATTACCTAATGAACAGAATTTTGTAATTACGCATGGGAAAATGATACCACTTTCTGAAAAAATGTATCAATTTCCCGTGCGTAATACAAAATGACTGAAAAACGGCAAACTTCGCAGTGCTATATTATCTGCATTTTACAACATTTCGCAACGAAACTTCGGAATATTACTAATTTTGTGATGCTCTTTCAAGCTGTGGTGAAATTTCTCTACAGACTTGTCTAGATCAAAATTTTGTTCATTAGGTAATACGTCCATTCTAGTCGAGTATAACGATCGTGATCGCTGAGATAGAAAAATTTCTATCTCAGCAATCGTAACGATCCCAGCGAACATATGGAAAGGAAAATTCTCCGTAATTTCTGCTTCTTCTGTTGTCGTCGTCCAAAAATTCCCAATATGTTGAGGAACCAAGCTTCCAATACCAATCGCTAGTTTATTGCTGCCATTTTCAAACTTTCGCGCCATAAACTTTTCCCCAGCTCTCTCACATCATATGCGCGCAAAACGTGAAGCATTCATATGGAAATGAACGAACGATCGTGATCGTTAGGTCACTGGTAAATTTTTATAGCGATCGTAATATATGATTACAGCGATCGTAACGATCATATGCAAGCGAGGCTTAGGTAATATAAGTATGTGGGGTGTGTGTTAATTATCCTTACTTGCAGTTGAGAGCTAAGCCGAATAGACAATTCCCATTCAGGGGTTTTTTCAGGGGTTTTTTCAGGGATTTTTTAGGGCCGTTAAACGGCCCCAAAAACTCAATCTTGAATTGAGTTTTGAAACTCAATCTTCTCACCAAAGTTTCAGTGCAGTAAAAATGAAGTTGTCTGAGTTAAATTCGCGACGTGTGGAAATTAGTTTTCAGTTGGAAACCCGACAATTAAGAAAAAATGGATGGAATTCATCTCGCATCTCACGTAGTGTCCCTCAGTGCCCCTGCTTTAACACATTCCGTCTCAACTACATTTATTGAGTGCAAGTGTCAGCCACCCTACCGGGGGGGCCCCCAGCTGTTCAGCTAAACTCAATCTTCTCTGCAAAAACGGGCCCAAGAGAAAATCCTGAAAAAAAACCTGCCATTATAGACTAATTTTAAAACTAGGCAAGGAGATGCAAATAAATCACCACAGCTAGAAAGAGCATACTAAAATCAGTAAAATTGCAAAGTTTGGTTGCGAAATGTTGTGAAATGCGGAAAATATAGCCTTGCGAAGTTTGCAAATTTTGTATACTTTTGTATTGCGTGCGAAAATTGCTACCATTTTCGGCCCAATTTGCCCCTCTGGATATTAGTATAAACAGGCCTTTTTAATTTATTTGCTCTATCTTTATAACAACAGGCGCTCCCTAGCATTTTGTGAACCAAAGCTCACACTGTATTATTGTGGTTAGAAATTCAATCAGCTTGCATTCTAGATCCTTCTTGTGATGTACCTTTTTTATTGTGTTCGTTTTGACATTATCAATAACCGCGTCACTTTCATTCTTGAGAACAATTTTGCAATACGGGTCACTAAAGGAAGAGAAGAGACAATGGATTATTCTAGCTATAGACTAAATTTTGGTCTAGGCAAAAAGAACAAAATCCACAGCTAGAAAGAGCATGTTAAAATTAGTAAAATTGCAAAGTTTGGCCGCAAAATGTTCTACAATGCGGAAAATATAGCCCTGCGAAACTTTCAAATTTTGTATTATCACCAAAAGTAGTGCAAATTCCCGTGCATAATACAAATTAATACAAAATTTGCAAATTTCGCAGGGCTATATTTTCCGCATTTTACAACATTTCATGGCCAAACTTCGTAATTTTACTAATTTTAACATGCTCTTTCTAGCTGTGGTGATGGATTTTGTTCTTCTTGCCTAGATCAAAAGTTAGTCTGTAGCTGGAATTGCCTATTAATGAATTAATATTTTTGAACCCAAATTTTCCTTGTGGTATATTCACACTAAATATTAGGCTGAAGATTCGACATTTTTTAGGCTGATTATTTATTAGGCTGAAGATTCGATATTTCAAAAATGTTGATGCTCGATTTTTCGCATATCGAGAATATGCAAAGTTACACCCCCAATGTCAAAACTATTCTGACATGTGAAACGTAAGTTGCCCAATGACAAATTTGGTTGCAAAACTCAGAAATAACTTTTTATCACAGCATGGGGTAACGCCTGAATGCAAACGGTAATATGTCGCTTGTCTGATTTTCAAAACAGTTAATGTTGCGCTTGAGAATACTGCTATGTCGCTTTTGGAATTTTATCATTGTTTTGGCCACTTCAAATTAAACTTAATCTTCCTGTCATCCGCCCACATCTCCTGGAACTGGCCGCATAATTTGTCTGTTATTGCTAAGTTGTCTTCATTATTTGACCTTAGTTTACGAGTAAGAATAATGAAAATCCACAGTTTTTTAATTAATAATCTATCATTCAAGAAATACATATTCATAAATACTAAGTAAAAATTGAAATAAAATTGTTGAAACTTTTATGAAAGAGCATGCACTGTTGTTTTTGTTCACTTTTACGACAGTAACCGCTGAGCTAGACACAGAAATGATAACCAAGGGTAATATCCTGGCTTTCATTTCTGCATAAAAACATGGTTGAATAGATATTTGAAAAGTGCATCTATTTCATGAAATAATGGGTTCAGACACCATAATGGATAATGGACTACGTGAGGGCCGGACGGCAGGGCTTGAACTTTATCGCGGCCATTGCTGTTGAGGGAGAACAGAATGTCGTGGATCATTGCGGCAACAACGGCAATTTTTGTACTATTCACTGTGCATTACTATTTTGATACTTGAATTCAGATGCTGATCAAATCAAGGTGAAGCGTAAACTACTACTATTTTAGTCTGGATTTTCTTTGAAGAAAAAAAAACACTAAAGAAATATGTAAACATGTTTCTAGCTTGTCAGCAAATATCCAAATAAATAACAATAAAATTAAATTTTTATTACAGTAATTTGAAAAAATGCCATGGAAACTGCCAAAATTGCGGTAGACAGCTGTTACGTTCTACGGCAATTTTTAACGCCATTGTCGTTGATTGATTTTAGGGAAATTCAAGGCCTACCGGACAGTAAACTAAAGTCTAATTTGAAGAGAGCTTTCCACCTTTGCCATGTCACCATTAGAACTAAATTGGGTTTTTTATGTAATGTTGTTATTTCATAGTGATTGACCGATTGCGCAACAATCGGAAGTTACCGATTACCGATTATTCATGCCACAATCTACCTGATACCGATTTTACAATGATGTCATAATATCAGTCGACCGAGTGAAGGTGATGTCTTCCATGACAATTTTTTAACGATAATTCCCAACGTAACATGTTACTGCAACCATGGATAATAAAATAAATGGATAGGACTCTTGCTGACGTAAGCAAAAACAACCTAGTTGCAATCTGTGACGTCACGCGTATTCCAAAGTTCTCTGCATTTTTGTTGTTTCGCTATATTTTCCGCCTTAAAAGAGCAATATTGAAGCATAAACGGGTCTAATTGTTTTAAAAACATGCCTAAGCCACGACAAAGTATTCGAGGTAAATGTTTTTCGTCTTTGTTTTGTATTTTTTTACATTTGTAGCTACGAAATTGGCGTCCCCAATTTTAACGAAATTTGGGATGCCTTTTTCACTGTTTAGTGCTTGAAATAGTTGCTAAAATTGACTGGGAATACTTAGAGATTTCATCGTGGAATGGCGTAGTTATATTCATTTGCTCTTTGACTAAAATGTTTAGCTGTATTATTGCTAAACATGCCGTTTTTGAGAATTTGGTTTGCAACTAGGTTTCAACATCCAATCACGCCATCAGCCCACTGAAAACATTAGGTCATGTCAGCTAGTTTCCTATCCATTTATTTTATTATCCAAGCTGCAACCAAAGATCGTTAAAACTGTTAATAAATGACTTGCTAATTCACACATTTATTTAATTAACATATTGCGTTAAAACGCAACGTGCAATGCATATAATGTTTACAGTGCGCATTTTCTCAACAATCGGTTTTAGACAATCGGAAGTACAGATAATTCTACCGATTCCAATTGTCTACCGATAAGGCAAAAGATGGCGATTGTCCGTCAATCAGACGATCACTAAATGTCGCTATTTCATTTTCATATATGTTGCCTTTTCAAAAACTACTTTTGAAATATCAGATGAAACATTAGGTTAAAAATTGAGGTTTTGCTGTACTTTTGAGCACATTATAACACTCCAAATGGATGATTAGGTAGTGTTGAAAATTCCTTAGATTTTTTGGCTTCATAAACTCATTAATACATTCAACCAACCGATATGTTATTCATATAATAGCGTAGTCTGCGGTATAGGGTATTTATTTTTAATTTCTATATATCATGCTTTATAGATCGTGCAATCGTCTAATAGACTAATAGTACTAGTATACGATTGGAATATTTGTAAAAAAATATGGAAGCTGATGTGATGTCTCGGACAAAAACAAGACGAATTTTTGACATCGACAATAAACACAGCAACATAGCAACCACAACACGGCCCTACCTCAATCCAAAAACGTCCTTCTTCGCCAAATTCGTCGCTTGTAATACGACCACACGTAATATACGAAGTTGTTGATTACTCTGACCGCCCTTTAAAAAGTCATTTTTAGACATTTTTACTGCCTTAAACAAGATACAAATACGATGAAGAAAGCAAAGCGACACTCTATAATATATGTAGTTACATACTGGCGTATGTGCATGCACTTACCACTTGAATTTGGACGCCAAATACAGACGGATTAGTTGACACTTCGTCTACGATGGCCGCCATGTTGTTTGTTTGGGACGCGCCCAAGGTTGCGAAGACTGGACACGAAGTATGAAATGTGTAAAAAATAGATTATTTCGACAGCAATTTTCAAAAAAAAGTCCCCAATTTTTTGCGGTGCTGAAGCTGAAGCGGAAAAAGCTCTTGTAATGCGTAGGCCTTTTCTTTCTTGCATAGCAGAGAAAAACAGCTGTTTTTTCAAGCCTCTGCTATGACAACTTGTGACGTTTGTTAAAAACACCTGGGACGGAAACCCGCTGTTTTAGTTAAGTTTATGTATTTCTGCCATAGATATATCTATATGATTTCCCCACGTCTGCTTATTTCAAAATTTCAGAGAAGAAAAGTCCTACTGATTCAGACAAGATTTCTGAAGAACTGGGGAAGCGTCACATATCGATTTTGTCCACGAGAAACGTCATATGGACGTTTCTCGGGAGACCCCCTCCCCCCTCCCATTCTCGTACCCAGAGCCCTTCTTACGCGCGTTCGACCGAGCGCGACGAGGGGGCTCGGGCCAAATCCATAACCGGATACCATAAAAACATGGTAAGAAAACAATATCCGGTGTTAGAACTAGCCAATCAGATTGCAAGTTCGGATATGGATTTGGCCGCCCCTCGTTGCAATGCGCGTAAGAAGGGCTCTGGGTACGAGAATGCCGCCCCCCCCCCCCCCCCCCTCCCAGAAACGTCACACTCTGTTTTCGTCTGCCGAGGCCCATGATGCATTATTTATCTTGCAGACTTTAAAATTGAGTGTTGTGTATAAAAGTACAGCTTGCCCGCTGTAAGAGAAGAAACTTCCGCCAGCTTTTAAAAGTTTGTATCTTATCTTAATATAGATAAAATAACTGATAGTCTACCCAATAAACGAAATATTTTAAATTACATGCAAAACAACTACAAAATAAACAAAACTACAGGCGTTCTGGTGATTGTAAAATACGAGAATGAGCCGGGCATGACGAAAGTAAAAACGTCAGTAACAGAACTGAATGAGTTTGCAGTCTATTTCGGCGATTTGTCGGTCCGCAGTAAAACTTGACATTTATTCTCCTGCATACTATTCGGTCTATTGACAATTATTCCTTTCAACATTTCGTTTCGCGCATTTATTGCTTTGTAGGCCACTTGGACCTACGTGTTCTGTTCTTTCTCAATAAGTTCGAATTCGCGGTCTGCACGCAGCAAAACTTTTGAACAAGCTGTCAAATTTTCCACGACTTTTCACCGAGAAACGTCACAGCCACCAAGACGTTTCTGGTGGGCAAAATCGATATGCGACTCCCCCTAAGCTTATCGACTTATCAAAGCTGGAAGCGCGACTAGGATTATACATAGTAATTTGGAGACGTTCTCTGGTCTTAACGTTTTAGTAAATATACGAGTTTTCGACTGTCAGTCTGCGTCTTCAACAGGTGAAGCAATTATTGAACAAATTATAAAAACATAATTGTTTCTTCGTCACGTCCGTGGCGCCCGGTCAGCCAGGACACCGTATGAGCCAGCCATGGCTGAACAAAGCATGCCAGATAGTTCCCTAATAGCTAGTAATTCCTCTATTTAGAAACCTGTGATGATTGATAGGTATGCATGCATGCAACTACCTGAAAAATACAAGGAGAACTTCGAACTTAAAGTTTTCTATCTATCGTTTTGAGCGAATTAGGAAGGTTAGCCGGCTATCATACAATGAAATTAATAAATATTTGAAAAATGAATAAATATCTAAGAAAAGGACTAAATAACTATCAATTAATATCCAACGGCACGGGAAATTTAGACGTCGTCCTCGGTTCACTAGTCCTCGGTTCACTAGTCCTCAGTTCACTAGTCCTCGGTTCACTAGTCCTCGGTTCACTAGTCCGAAGGTTCACTAGTCCTCGGTTCACTAGTCCGAAGGTTCACTAGTCCGAAGGTTCACTAGTCCGAAGGTTCACTAGTCCGAAGGTTCACTATAGTCCGAAGGTTCACTAGTCCGAAGGTTCAC